AAAAAAAAGAGGAATAGGGACAATGTAAAGAAAGATCAGACCAAAGCAAAACTACAGCCCTACACCAATTCCTTTGTCTCCTTATCTGTCATCTGGCTCTCGTGATCGAATCTTGTAGGCTCCAAAGGACTTGGGTAGCTCCTCCAGCTCTGTCGCCTGCAGCACACATACGCTTTCTTTTTGGACAGCATCTCTCCATGAACGTTCAAAGGTCCTGGCATCTGCAATATTTTGGAGTCTCCATTAAATGTGGGCTTTAGCTTTACTTATTTATGCGGTGGCTATTCAGGTCCTTCCTTCAGAGACTCTAAGCCCAGTCTCACGTTCCTTGGTCTCACTATCTCTCTGATATTGTGGCACAAGACTCCATAGCCCCTTCAATCCTGCATCTGTTATGCTTGCAGAGCCAGTACCCTGTGGACAATCCTGCCACACTCAGCTGTGAACTCGGGGTGGAGTACAGCCCCTTAGATCACAGCTGCATCCGGTTCTATGTGCTGACCCTGGGGAAATATTTCCCTAGGCAGTTGCTCTTGAGGAATGAGACTCTTTCAGCAGCACTCAATTTGGGTTCTCATTTCAAAAGAGTTTGTGTTTTGACAAGACAGAGCTTTTAAATGGGCAGGGTCTTACCCTCAGAATACCTTTCCCAGTGCAAAGTTTCTTTCCAGAATGCACATTTTAAATATCTGTCTACTTCACATTTTGCGCGCGCTCTCTCTCTCTTTCCCACCTAGGTGAAAAAAAGTAAGCAGTAATCATTTACAGCCTGAATGTTAACCTAGCTTGAATTTCTTTTTTTCCTTCTTTTTTTCCTTCCTTCCTTCCTTCCTTCCTTCCTTCCTTCCTTCCTTCCTTCCTTCCTTCCTTCTTCCTTCCTTCCTTCCTTCCTTCCTTCCTTCTTTCCTTCTTTCTTTCTTTCTTTCTTCCTTCCTTCCTTCCTTCCTTCCTTCCTTCCTTCCTTCCTTCCTTCCTTCCTTTCTTTCTTTCTTTCTTTCTTTCTTTCTTTCTTTTTTGTTTGTTTTTTGAGACAGGGTTTCTCTTGTGTAGCCCTGGCTGTCCTGTACTTGCTTTGTAGACCAGGCTGGTCTCAAACTCAGAGATCTACCTGCCTCTGCCTCCCTGAGTGCTGGGATTACAGGCTTGTGCCACCGAGCAAGGCTTGAAATTATTTCTACCAACCAATTAGTCCATTACCCCTGGATTCAGTCTCACATACATTCCAGGAACATGGGCAGATTGCAGTTAGATTACTTGTCAGGACATGACATGAATGCCCAGTTCCCTCCCAGTGTCTTTCTTCCCTTCCCAATCCTCATGTTTTGGGGCTCTGCTGCCTGCATGTCCCTTGGTATTCTAAACTTCAAAAATTCTCCAAGAACGGCCCATTACGCTCTGCTTACAGCATGCTATGGGTTTTTCCACCCCAAAGTTCCAAAACTATCCACATTCCTCTTGCCAACAAGTTTCAAAGACCTAGAAATTACATGACTAGGTTTATCACAGGCACAGTCCCACTTCTTGGCATCGATACTCTGTATCACTTACCTTTATCATTGTTGTATATAATAACTGACAAAATTCATTTAAGGGAGAAAGAGTTCCTGTTTGGCTCACAGTTGGAGCTATGATCATGACAGGGAAGTCACAGTGGCAGGTGATGGAGGCAGTGGTTACATGATCTCCACAGGAATCAGAGTCACATCAGTAAGTCTGGAAGTTAGGATGGGTCTTCATAAAGCAATTAACAGAACTAGAATAATCTCTCACATATGGGCCTGGACATTTGTCTCCAGGGTGATTCTATATCCTGTCAAGTTGACAGTCAACACAACCCATCATAGGAGGCTGATCAGATTTCTGATTTATACAAATATTTATTAGTAATTATGCCTTCATTTCAGAGGAGAAAAGAGAATGGAGGCAGGAAGGGCATTGGGAAGGCATTATTTCAGGTGAGAGACAAAGAAGTGTCTATAGGGATGAAACAAAATCAATCATGAATTCCAGAGATTTAGTCAAGGGTAAGAGTTGACAATAATTGTGGTCTAGCTTGGCACACTGGATTGAGTTTGGAGGAAACCGATAACTGAGATGAGTAAGGTAGGTGGAACAAGTGATTATGAGAAGAAGATATTTAGTGTTACATTTTTGTCTTTAAGGCTTTCTCAGGATTTGGGGTGGAAACATTTAAGATAAGAAATTCTGGTTTAGGAAGTACCTTATTCAATAATAACTAAAGTCAATAACAAGAAGAATCTTGGCACTGGGCGCAGTGACACATGCCTGTGATACCAGCACTTGGTGAGCCGGAGCAGGCAGATCTTTGTGAGTTGGAGGCCAGCCTGGTTTACAAAGCGAGTCCAGGACGACCAAGGCTACACAGAGAAACCCTGTCTCAGAAAAAAAAAAAAGAATAATCTTGGCTGGGTGGTAGAAGCATATGCCTTTAATCCAAGTACTTGAGAGGCAGAGGCAAGCAGAGCTCTGTGACTTCAAGCCTGGTCAAGAAAGCTAGTTCCAAGACAGCCAAGGTTACACAAGAGAAACCCTGTCAAAAGAAAGAAAGAAGAAAAGAATAAACTGATGTTTAAATGAGAAAGAGCTGAAGCACAAGAGGAGAAACAGGATAGAAAGAGCACAGTTTAAGGATGAGAGACAAATACAAAAAGGCTGCTGTATGATGTAAGGTTTGAAAGATATGTTACTTGACTGGAGTTATAGAGCTTATCACTTCTTATTTGGGGTTGTTGTTTTGTTCGGTTTGAGACTAGAACTCTGCATGTAGTACTATCCTTGAACTTGCTATGTAGCCCAGGTTGAGATGGAACAGCTGATCCTCCTGCCTCAGCCTGAGACCTTATCACTTTAGAACTGAGTTGGGTAAAATAGAGTGACGATGTTAGACAAAATTAGCTTTAGACATTTAGTGAAGTCTTCCTTTTTTATGGTGCTGGAGATCAAAGCCCAGAAGAAATCACTCCACCATTGAGCTTCATTCCCACACCCCAATTAACTTGTTTGTTTGATTTTGAGACAGGGTTTCTCTGTGTAGCCCTGGTTGTCCTTGAACTAGCTCTGTAGACCAGGCTGGCCACAAATGAAAAGATCCTCTACCCACCCCACCCCTAACCCCAGTGCTGAGATTAAAGGTGTGCACCACCACTGTGGGACGCTAATTAACTTTTAAACATAAATCAATATAGATGCCAATAGATAGACGCCTTGGTTTGAAGGAGTTAGACAGGAAGATTGACAGAGTGATTATGTATTAAAAGATGATGAGGGCTAGGCATACAGCTTCATCGATAGAATGCTTGTCCAGCTCACATGAAGCCCTGTTTTTTGTTGATGTTTTGTTTTGTTTGTTTTCTTCTCAGTACCACACAATCCAAGCAAGGTGGCATAGGCCTGTGACTCTGAAACTCCTGCAGGTGGAGACAGGAGGGTCCCAAGTTCGAGAACACCCTTCTATGTAGTAAATTTGAAGCCATCCTGGGCTACATGAACCCCTATCTCAAGATATTAAACAAAATTTTAAAAGAATGATAACAGTATCCTTTTTTAATTTTAAAGATAGGGTTTCTCTGTGTACCCTTGGCTGTCATGGACTCACTTAGTAAACCAGGCCAATCTCAAACTCACAGAGCTCTCCCTACCTCTGCCTCCCTGAGTGCTGGAATCACAGGCGTGCACCACCATGATCGGCTGGTACCTGACTTCTAACATTCATATACTCACTCACAGTTCTGTAACATAGTATGATTTGTATTACCTTATTTGTGATTAAGGCTGATTACGTTGCTTAAGCATTTCCTGTCACAGTCATAGTTTAAATTCTGAGGCTATATTAGCTCTTTATCTCCTGGAGCTGTAAAGACTAGTTAATCTGTATAAGGAAAGTGGAGCAGCTTGTTCTTACGCAGCCATTGCAGGTTGATTTTTATTAGAGTCCAGATTCCAATCCATTTTTTTGAGACAAGGTCTCTCTATTATGCATCTCTGGCTATCCTGGAACTCAGGATGTAGACGAGGCTGGCTTTGAACTCCCAGAGATGAACGAACCTGCCTCTGTCTCCCGAGTGCTGGGATTAATGGCAAGAACCACCACGCCCAGCTCAAAAAAATTTTTTTGACAGATTTATTTTATGTATGAGTGCTCTAGCCGCATGTATGCCTGCATGCCGAAAGAGGGCATCAGATTCCATTGTAGTAGCTATGAGCCACTATGTGGTTGCCGGGGAATTGAATTGAGTACCTCTGGAAGAGAAGCCAGTGCTCCTAACCACTGAGCCATCTCTCCAGCACCACTGCCCCTTTTTCTTTTTTCGTTCTTTCTTTCTTTCCTTTGGTTTTTCGAGATAGGGTTTTTCTCTGTAGCCTTGGCAGTCCTGGACTCACTCTGTAGACCAGGTGACCACAGAGTGAGACCAGAACTGCCAAGTGCTGGCATTAAAGGCGTGCGCCTCCATGCCCAGATCAGAATTGTTTCTCTTAACGTTATGAAACACGAGCGCTTCGTTTTACAGAAACACGCAAGAAGGTTATCTAACTCTAGGAATCAGAACAGAGGGAGCATGTCAGAGTCAGGAAGTCCTTTGTAGATAGGACACATAAGGGGATTACAAAAAGCTTTTATTCGCCAGTGTGCGCGGTGCAGGAAAAAATAAACGGGAGAGAAAGTACTTAGCAGTTTCTGCTATTGAATATCGGGGGTTTGAAAATTGAATGCTTGCCGACAGCGAAGGCAGCCCTTCTGCCCGACTTCCGGCGTACTCCGTTGCCAGGGTAACCGGAAGTCATGCTACGGCCCGCCCCCCCCCCCCCCCCCCAAACCATAGAGTACCGGAAGACGCCTGAGCGGAGGAGACCCAAGCGGGGCGGGGAAAAGCGACTCGGCTCCAGCGCGGTGGGTTCCGAAATGACGACCTTAGTGCTGGATAACGGAGCCTACAACGCCAAAATCGGCTACAGCCATGACAATGTGTCGTAAGTGTTCGTTGTCTCAGGAGGGACAGGACGTGTAAGCCTTGTGGTTTCCCAGGCTGTGCTCTCCGACTTGAGTGATCCGCAGACGCCCTCGCGCGGCTCCAGCCTCTGTCGAGGGATGCTCAGTTTGGAGCTGGGTTGGTGGGTTTGATGCTTTGAACTGAAATTGATTTTGATTTTTGTTTGGGGCTCGGGGCTGCGGAGGTGGAGTGGAGTGTTTGTTTCGTTTGGTAACAGTAAACAGGCTTCCTTTTTGATCAAGGGGGCCAAAGACAAAGTTGATGAAATTTTGGAAATACAGGGCAACGTTTGGGGGATGCTCGCCTTTGGGGGGAACGCAGTTATAGGTTTTCATCGGATCCTCAAAAGGTTCAATGCCCCCTTGCCCCCAAAATTGTAAAACCCACAACATTAGTGTCCAGGGAGTTTGAAGGCATTGGGCAACCTACTTGAATAATCTGGTTGGTAAAATCAGGAATGCTACAATGGCATCTTAAGATATGTCTTGTAAAATGTATGTTTGAATAAATAAGCTTTCCTCACTTCTAGAGCTGAAACCCAGGACCTTGCATCCGTAAATAGTACCCTCCCATAGAATTACACCCTCACTACCTGCAATAAAGGATGACCTTAAACTTCCTGCTTCTCCCTCCTAGGTGCCAGGATTACATGGAGGGCCGCCACTTTAGTCTGAAGTGGGCATTTTATTGAATTTTTTCCTTAGACACTAGTTGTTGAACTCTTGCATGATGAGCAAGCACTACATTTTCTTTGCCCAGCTCTTTTTACCGGTTTCTCAAAGCTTCAGTGGTGAATGGAAGCCATTTATTAAAATAAGGCTTCTGTTTAAGTGTTTTGTTGTTGTTGTTGTTGTCTGTGAGAACCAGGTACAAGGGGTTGGAGAGATGGCTCAATGATTAAGGGTCGTTTCTGAGATTCTAGAGGACCTAGGTTCAATTCCCAGTATCTACATAGCAGCTAACAATTGTCTGAAACTCGAGTCCTGGGAGATCACACAACCTCCTCTGGTCCCCATGGGTTCCAGGCACACACCCACATGGTACATAGACACACACGCAGGAAAAGTCCAATACACAGGAATAAATAGTGAATGAACGAATGAATGAGTGCAGGAAAAATACCTGTACATATAAATAAATAAGTAAACATGCATGTAAATAGCACATATATAGAACAGGATTTTTGTTTTGTTTGTAATGTGCTGGAGAATGAATCAAGGGCCTAGCACATGCTAGGCAATTGGTGTACACTGAACTATAGTCTCCTCCTACCTTGTAATTCTTCACTGAGACAGGGTCACAGAGTGTGCCTGAGATTCCATAGAATTCACTGTATAGCCTAGGCTGGCCTCAGACTCATGACAATCCTCCTGTCTCAGCCTCAGTGCTGGAATTATAGGCATGACCCATCACTCCTGGCTACCTGATCTCTTGTTAAGGACGGAATCCAGACCCACAGCCAGACATTATGCAGTGAGAGAGCTTGGAACACTCATCCCTAAATGAGATGTCTCCATCAAACCTCTCCCCTCAGAGCTCAGGGAACCCTGTGGATGAGGAGGCAGAAAGATTGTAAGAGCCAGAGGAGATGGAGGACACCAAGAAAACGAGGGTTTCTAAATCAACAGGAGCAGAACTCACAGACTCACAGAGACTGAAGCAGCAAACACAGCAGACCAGGTCTGCACCAGGTCTTCTGGGCTTACAGTATGGCTTCCACTTTAGTGTTTTTATAGGATTTCTCTGATTCTTGAGCCCTCTCTTAGGCTCTTGTGTTGGTTTGTCTTGTAAAATTTTGATGCTGTGGTTTTTGGTTTATTTCACTGTATTTTATTTTTTTGTTGTTGTTGTTTTAATTAGTGGATGAGTGAATGAATTAAAACCTAGCCGCTGAGATAAAGGTTAACAACTGAAGTGTCACTTATACCTGCTGGGAGAGGGAAAATTCATTTTCCCCATGGGAGTGATACTAGGTGTATCACCAGTCCCGGGCAGCCTCATGTTCAGGAGTAGCTGACCAACATAAAATGGACTCCACCATTTTTATGTGTTCTTTTATTTGGTTATAATTTGGTGGGGTTTTTTTGGGGGGAGGGTGTTATTTTGTTTTCTTGTCTTGGGGGGATTTTGTTGCATTGGGTTTTTGTTTTTTGATAAAGAACTTAAGAGTTGGGTGGGTAGGGAGGGAATGAGGATCTGGAAAGACTTGTAGGAGGAAGACTATGATCAAAATATATTTAACATTAAAAATTGTTTTAAGTAATAAAAATACAACAAAAAAGAAATCAAGAGACATGTTTATAAATTGTTACTTTTTTCCCTGAAAGTGTGTATCATCGTGTATCATTTTTCATATACTTTGACTGCAATTTTGTGTATGCTTAAGAAATTATTTAGAGATACTTCGGAAGGGTAAGTGCAGGAATGTTAGGCTCTATTATAGACAGCATGCACAGTTAGCAAAATGAAGTATGTGACGGGAAGCAAGCTAAAATAGTCAAGAATAGCAAAGTGGCTAAGTATATTAGAATGCAGTCATGCAGTTGACAGCAGGGCAGTTTCTTTTAGTTGTGGTGTTAGGGTCCAACTTAGGTCTTCAAGGATTTGCTTTACTCCTGAGCCACACCAGTTTCTCCTTAGAGCTAGTGTCTCACTGTATTGAACAGGCCAGTTTCCAGCCCCAGGCTCAAGTGATAGTCTTGCCTCTGTTGCACAAATATCTGGGATTACAGGCAATGCAACATTAAGCCCAGCCCATGCTGATTTTAAAATCATGCCTTCCAAGAACTTTTACACAGGCAGAAAAAATATTGATAGTGTGTACTATGTGAAAGTAGACACAACCTTTTAGACGAAAATTTATTTAATTTTATTTTGTGTGTTTTGGTGTGAGGCTGTCAGATCCCCTGGAACTGGAGTTACAGATAGTTGTGAGCTGGGTGCTGGGGATTGAACCCAGGTCCTCTGGAAGAGCAGCCAGCACTTTTAACTGAGTCATTTCTCCAGCTTGGCACAACCTTTTTATAATATTATCTCAATATCATGGTGTGTGTATGAGTATATGCATACATGGATGACAATGGCTTCGATTTTATAATCCTGTCTGGATTGTAAGCTCATAGAGGTCAGCATCCATCTTGAAAGGTATTGTGTGATAGGTATGATGGTGCAGACCTTTAACCCCAGCCCGGGAGGCAGTTTGAGGCTGGCCTGGTCTACAAATCAAGTTCCAGGCAGCAGAGAGCGCCATAGCAAGACCTTGTCTTGCAAAACAAAACCACAGAAAATAAAAGCAAACAAAACAAAGAAAAAATTTAAAGTGGTTCTTCATTTTGTACTCTGTGTGCCAAAATTTTGAACTTTAACTTATTAAGAATGTTTACTTTGGGGGTTGGAGAGATGGCTCAGAGGTTAAGAGCACTGCCTGCTCTTCTGGAGGTCCCAGGTTGGATTCCCAGCAACCACATGGTGGCTCACAACCATCTACACAGGGATCTGGTGCCCTCTTCTGTCATGTAGGTGTACATGCAGATTGAGCACTCATATACATTAAATACATTTATCTAAAATCTACTTTACTGCTGGGAAAAAATCCAGCTAGAATTAAGGATTGCCAGAGATCAAAGTCTTCAGTCTTGGTAAGGCAACATCTCTTTTTGAATCTACATTGTGATTTGTACAGGGCAGCTTCTGGGCTAACTTGTAGCTATAAAATACTTAGCAAAATAGCTGATATTTATATTTTTTTCTATTCTAATTTTTTAGTTTCCTCCCTGCTTCAGGGAGCTGATTCTTTTAACTCTCAATAAGCCCATGTTTGCTTACTCTCCAAATAAGTGAGAATGCAAAGGAGGAAGAAAACAAACCCAGCTCTGGCCCTCCATATGCAGCAGCTGGGGCCACGACCACCCAAGGGTTCTGTAAGATCCTTTGAGGACCTGTTAACAGCAGCACCTTACACACAGCCACCCAAGACATGTTGGAAGGCACTGGACACAGAAACACTGGTGTGAATACATAGTCCTCTAGTATACAGGTGATGGCTAAGTACTAGTGCTTTTATTTGTTGTGAGCTGAGCTGTCACTCCAGCCTGAGTACTAGGGCTTTTTAGCAACTGAATAGATGGAAGGTAATTGTGTATTTCTTTGCACCTAGGGTTATTCCCAATTGTCAGTTCAGATCAAAGACAGCGCGTCTTAAAACATTTACTGCTAACCAGATTGATGAAATAAAAGATCCTTCAGGACTCTTCTACATCCTTCCCTTTCAGAAGGTAACCCAATTATGTTTTATTTCTGATATTATAAGCCTGTAATTGTGGGGGATTGGGGGTAGGGTTAGAGTACACTTTCCGGAGTGGTCACTTTCTACCTTGCTGAAGCCAAGTCTTGTTTCTGCCACTGTGCTGTGTGTTCTAGGGTAGCTGCCGCTCCAGCTTCCTGGGGGTTCTCCTGTCTCCCCTCCCATCTCTCCAGTAGGGGTGCTGGGATTAAAGCTTGCACTGCAGGTGCTGGGGATCAAACTTGGATGGTCAGGTGTACAGGTAACACCTTTAGCTGATGAGTTATCTCTCCAGCCTATAAACCTACATTTAAAGCTATTTCTTTTATTTTTTTATCCTTTATATTTCAACTTGCATACCCATGTGGGATGGAGCCCAGCACAGTTCTGTTTTAGCGAGTGCGCGTGCGCGTGTGCGTACTTGGAAGTGAGGCAGATGCTGGCAGAAGAAGTCAGAGGTGGCGGATGCCTCTTGGGCTGAAGCTACAGAGTACAAGTGAAAATATTTTTAGATGTCTAAGAAAAGTTTGTTTCAGTTTTAATTAAGATTAATTAAAATGGCTAGGTGGTGGTGGAACACACTTTTAATCCGAGCACTCTGAGAGGCAGAGGCATGTGGATCTTTGTGAGTTTGAGGACAGCCTGGTCTATAGAGTGAGTCCATGACAGCCAAGGCTACAGAGAAACCCTGCCTTGAAAAAACAAATAAATAAACTTATTAATTAATTTAAAAATCTAATTAAAATGACAAACTGAAATTAAATTGTTTTAGTAAAAATAACTATGCTTGGGTTACTCATTAGAATACTGGATTTCTTTTAATTGAAACTAGGCGGTATATGTGCCTTGTATTTTGGCATGCTGTCTGAACCACTGGCATCTTAGTTACTGATCACTAGGCAAGTGCCCCCTCTGCAATTGATCTGACAGTATTAGGTAGGAAAAGGTTACCACTCAGAGCTAGAACTCAGGATTTAGAACATGTGAATCTGATTTAGTTTTTATGTGTGTGGGTGTGTGTATGTGTGTGTGATATGAGCAGTGGCCCATGGACTTGTGTGTGGCGACGAGAAGACAGCCTTGTAGAATTAGTTCTTCGCTTTTCTGCATGTCGGCTCTGGGGTAGAACTCTGGTCACCAGGCTTGCAAGGCGAGCTCCTCTACTCCTTGAACCATCTCATCCTTAATCTTATTTTTAAAAATTACTAAAGTATTCTTGATCATTAAGGGGTTCGTGTTGTTCTTGATTTTAGGGCTACCTGGTGAATTGGGATGTCCAGCGGCAAGTTTGGGATTATCTTTTTGGAAAAGAAATGTATCAGGTAACACGTTAGAGTATGTATTAAATCTATCTCTGTGTCTTAATTCATAGGAAAACTGGGGACTTACATTTAAAAACTTATAATTATATGCACTCAAGGTACTGGACAGAGATTTTTCTAGATTTCATTTATTTTTGGAGACAGGGCCATACAATGTAGCCCTAGCTGGGCTGGAACTTGCTGTGTAGAACTGACTAGTCTCAAATTCTACCTTCTGAGTGCTGCTGATATTAAAGGCATATGTCTGAAGTGTGATCTTATAAATATTTCCAAAGTACAAATAAATAAAACCTTCAGGTTGAAAACTAAGTGGAGTACAGATAATCCATATGAAAGTCGGTATTAAATTTTTATTTCCTGGGCTGGAGAGATGGCTCAGTGGTTAAAAGAACTGTCTGTTCTTCCAAAGGACCCGGGTTCAATTCCCAGCACCCACATGGCAGCTCACAACTATCTGTAACTCCAGTTCCAAGGAATCTGACACCTTCACAATGATGCACATAAAATAAAATTAAAAAAAAATCTTATTTCCTGTTTTTACTGTTTTTTTCCTTATGCTAGAGAATCAAACCCATGAGATTGTTCTGTGTTAGGTGATTTTTCCATCTCTCAGCTATATCCTCAGGCCAGTATTTAGACTATTATCAGGCATATACCATACCCTTTTTATTTCACGAAAATATATGTTGGCCTACATATCTGAATATATAGCTGTTAGAAGAATTTTATGTTTTTTTAAGATTTAAAAAAGTTATTTATGTACATGTGTATGTCTTTGTGAGTGAGTGTGTGTGCATGAATGTGTGTACATGTCTATATGTGTATGTGAGAGTGATTGTGTATGTGTGTGTAAGTGTATACCATGTATGTGCAGCCCACAGAGACCATGGAAAGTGCTGGATCCTTTGGAGCTAGAGTTACAGATGGTTATGTGAGCTGCTTGGTGTGTGAGAACTGAACTCCAGTCCTCTGAAAGAATAGCAAGGGCTCTTAACTACTGATCTATCTCTCCAATCCCTGATTCTTTTTTTTTTTTTTTTCCAAGATGAGGTTTTCTGTGTAGCCTTAGCTGTCCTGGACTCACTTTGTAGACCAGGCTGGCCTCAAACTCACAGAGATCCGCCTGCCCCTGCCTCTTTGACTGCTAGGATTACAGGCATGCACCACTGAGTCCAGCAAGGATTGATTCCTTTCTTTCGATGTATTCATTTTACTTTCTGTGTATAGGTGTTTCCCCTGCATATATGTCTGTGCATCGCAGACATGTAATACCCGTAGAGGCTAAAGAAGATGTCAGATCCCCTTTCTGGGATTTGAAAACCTGGGTTTTTTTGGAAGAGCACCCAGTGCTCTTTAACTGCTGAGCTAACTGTCCCGCCCCAAATTTTATGTTTTTCACAACTAGAATGTAACTATAGACAAGTTGAGAGTATGGCCAAGTTTTAATCTACCCCAAGAATGTAGGAAAAACTCTCCTCCATTCACCATGGTGTTGAAAGGAAAGAAGCCCAAGGGAAGTTTGAAACTGAGACAGACTTTAGTCACCTTCACTCAGGCTAACTGTGAAGACAAGGAGTTCTGGTAGACGCTGTCAGAGCACGTTCATAAGAACAGCCCTCCCCAGGGTGACATGGGACGGCAGTGTCCTGGGTCCAGAACCTGAACTTTGAATTGCTGCTATGGAAAAGGCAAAGAATAAGAGCAAACAAAAGCCAGGTGTGGTGGTGCACACCTGTAATCCCAGCACTCAGGAGGCAGAGTCAGGCAGACCTCTGTGAGTTTGAGGCCAGCCTAGACTACAAAGGCAGCACAGCCAAGGCTACACAGAGAAACCCTGTCTCAAACAAGGCTCCATGTATACCGTGGAGTTTTCTGCACATAGCAGTTCTCCAGAAAGCCCTGGGGAAGCTTCTGGCCTTCCTCCTGTCTGTGACAGGAGTGGTGGCCCCACTACATGGGTTGTGGCAGCCCTGCTCTCCTTAACAGTTTCGTGTTGTGGCTGTCCCACGTTAAATTTAGTTTTGTTGAGGTGAGATTGTAACTAGACTCTCCGAGTTCAAATCCTAGCTGTGGCCCTAAGTGACTATATGAAACTGGGCAACATACTCATTATTCTGTGACTCGGTTTATGTATTAAGTGAGGATTATAGTTTTTAGTATTATTGTGAGGATTATGTAATTTTGTTTATTATATATATATATATATAAAACAAATTTGATGATAATTACTATAGATTATAAAACTTCTGGGTTTTTATCCTTCCACAGGTTGATTTTTTAGATACTAATATTATTATAACAGAACCATATTTTAACTTCACTTCAATTCAAGAATCAATGAATGAAATTCTATTTGAAGAATATCAGTTCCAAGCAGTATTAAGAGTAAATGGTAAGTTTAAAGGTTTTACTGACATTAAATTATGAGGATGGTTATGAGTGGGGCAAAGAAACTCAGAGTCTCAAGTACTGGATGGGAGTTTTTAAGTCTGAAGGAAATAAAACACAGACTTTTTTGTTTTTTAAACTCATTATTTTAAAAAAGATTTATTTATTATGTGTACAATGTTCTGTCTGCATGTACAGCTGCACACCAGAAGAAGACACAAGATCTCATTACAGATGGTTGTGAGCCACCAGGAAATTTGGAAGAGCAGCCCATGCTCTTAACCTCTGTCTGAGCTGTCTCTCCAGTCCCCAGAACACAGAATTTTTAATTTAAGCCTAGAACTTTAGCTTACCCTAGTGGCACAGGCCTATGATTGTGGCAGCTTGGGAGGCTGGTGCAGGAGGATTGGTGATAGCCTCCCATAAAGTAAAAAGAAGCTGAGTGATGAGTCCAGGACTGCCTAAGCTGAGGAGTTAGCTTCTGTCCTGTGTCCCTCCTTCCAAAATAAAGCCAGCAGTAACAAAAGAAAAAGGTCATATTCTTTGCTTTTTTATTTACCATTTAAGTGTGGCATTTAAAACATTAAACACTGAGATCTTAAGACAGTTATAAAGGGACTGGAGAGATGGCTTTCAAGAGCATCTACTGTTCTCAAAGATGACCTAGCTTTGCTGGCCCCATGTTAGGCACTTGTAACTCAGTTCCCTGGCCTCTGCAGGCACCTACATGCACATGCACATAAACACAGACACAGACACAGAATTAAAAATGAAATCTAAAAAAACAGCTACAAATACCTTTAAGAGTGAACTTTTTTTTTTTTTTTTTCCAAGACAAGGTTTCTCTGTGTAGCCTTGTCTGTTCTGGATCCCTTTTGTAGACCACGTTGGCCTCAATCTCATGGAGATCCACCTGCTCCTGCCTTCCTGAGTGCTGGGATTACAGGCGTGTGCCACCATGCCCTAACATTTCTAATTAAAGGCTTTTTTGTTGTTTGTGTGGTTTTGTTGTTTTTATTTGTTTTGAGACAGAGTTTCCATATAGCCCTTGCTGCCCTGTAACTCACAGAGATCCACCTGTCTCTGCTTTCTGGGTGCTAGGATTAAAGGTGTGCATCACTGCACTTGATTTAAATACAGTTTTTTGTTGTTGTTGTTTCTGTTTGCCTTAGGTTGCTACTTTTCTTTTTTATTATATTTCTTCATTATTTTTATTTATTTATTGTTTCTTTATTGTTATTTATGTATTTTAACGTTTTTTTTTATCCTTTTAACAGCTGGAGCTCTTAGTGCACACAGGTATTTCCGAGATAACCCTTCTGAATTATGCTGCATCATTGTAGATAGTGGCTATTCCTTCACACACATAGTTCCCTACTGTAGAAGCAAAAAGAAAAAAGAAGCGATTATTCGGTGAGCTGTGCTTACTTTTAATTTTCTCATTTTCTGTCAGTTTCATGCTATTTCTTAGGGGGAAATATGTGATAACTGAACCAAAGTTGAATTCTCTCCTTTTAGGATAAACGTGGGCGGAAAACTCTTAACGAACCATCTAAAAGAGATCATATCCTACAGGTAATAATTGGTTTTGAACTTGGGGAGGATGAGGGATCACCACACCCGGCTAGAGGTTGGCTTTTCACATTGAGCACAATGCTGTAATTCTTCTTAATTACCAAGTTTATAAGATCTATCTGGTACTTTTGCCGTGGTTAAATCTGTCTTCTCTCACCTGAAGTGTAAAAATTCTAAACTCATAAACAGCATTCACAATGTTATGACTACATGAATGTTATGTACTATTGAACTAAGTCAGTTGGGCTGGATTTCAGTATGTTGTGATATTTCTCTTCCCCAGACTGGTGAGAAGCAGAAAATTGGGAAGAAAGAAAAGTTAATGCAAATGAGGATTTAAGATTAACAGCCTGGGCTCCTATAATCCCAGCACTTAGGAGGCTGAAGCAGGAGGATCAAGAGTATAGTATTGGCCATCCCTGGGCTACATAGTGAGACCCTGTCTCAACTCCATCAGAAGGGAGGCAACTGTGTATATAATCTAGCTAGAATAGGAGCAGACACTAACCAAAAAAAAAAGAAAAGATGGATAGAAAGGACAAAAATGGAGGGGGAAAGGGAATCAACAAAACTGTAGAACCAGAAAATTTCAAGGAATTTTTAAAAATGCAAATATAGCTTTACATATGCATCAGTATTAGAAATAATACAGGCTGGACCCAAGGGGAGTTGGAGCAGGAGGAAGAAAGGTGGAGGAGGAGGATGAGGAAGAGAGGCCTGGCTCTAAAGCTTTAGACCAGTGGCAACAGAATACCTCATGGCCGGAGCACTTGCTAAAGGAGGTTGATGGCTGAAGACTGGTGGCTTGGATGCATAGAGGAAGCAGGAAGGGAAGTGGTTCCAGTATCCCTTTGAAGGGCATGTTGTCAGTGACCTAACTTCCTTCCAGCAGGCTTCATCTTCCTGGTAGCACCAAGCCTTTAATGCCTGGAACTTAGGGGACAGTCTAGATCCAGTTGCAGCTCAGGTATCTGTTCCTTACGTGATTACAGTAAGAGTGCTCATTGATCCCCTCGAAGAATACTGCCTCGCCATGAAGTTACTTAAATGTTTTTCAGGATGGAGAAAAAATACAAAATTCTTAGGAATTTGAAGCTAAAAGATACAAATGGAAAATTCCCAGACATAAAACATGTTAGCTTCCCGCAGTAATCGTGGGTTCATTTCAGTTAATGGTTTATTTAGGGCCTTGCAAAATGAATGAAAGCAGACAAATGATTTTTCTTTCTCAAAGGACTACTCATAAGAATTATAATATGCCTTTACAAAGTACATTAGTGGGTCACCGAGAGGATGCTGCTGCAGATTTGTTGTGTGGACATTCTCACTGGCCCACATTTCCAGGAGTGCAAACAACTTTAAAACCATGTGACACCGTATCTCAGAATAAACTGAGGGAAACACAGGGACAAAAACAGCCCTACTTCACTGAATCTTAGGCTGTTTTCACATGTAACCTCTGGTTCTGAGATGAATCTCATCCTTGATACCTGAGAACGGTCATGGCTAACTCACCTTCCCATCTCAGTGGTGAGAAGGTGAGAAGATGAAATTGGCCTATAATGCCTGTTTAAAAAGCAAAGAAAGGAAGCAAGTTTTAAAAGGTCACTGACCACAAAGACCATGGTAAATACCTTACAGATTCTATCGCGAGCACTTATTTCTTAGTCTCTCAGGGGCCCTAGTACCTTTTCATATATGAACAGACTAGACCCCGTGCAAGTAGGGTAACCCAGTTGGTAGATTGTGCTTCCAACCTGTGACTGTAATTATTAATTAACACTTAAGCTTCTTTCTTTCCTCATCTAAACTTTAAACCTAAGGAACATTAATAAATATGCGTTATTAGATTAATTTTGTTGACAGTATGGCAGTAGAAATAAAAACAAACCCTACATTTAAAGCATTAATAATGTAGCTGATCATGGTAGTGCATATTCTTAATCCCAGCACTCAGGAGGCAGAGGTAGGTGGATATCTGTGAATTTGGGTCAGCCTGGTCTACACAGTGAGTTCTAGGACAGGGCTAGACAGGGCTACATATTGAGGTCCTGTCTGAAAACAACAAAAGAATGCTAGTAGATAAAAATGTTCGTGGGGTAATATTTAGTTGAAAATATAAAATAAACATGTAGCATATAATATACTTCATGTGCAAAGAAAAGTATTCAAAGAAATTACCTCATAAAATTTTTGTTTTTTGTATTTTCTTTGATTTATTCATCAAATTGTCTATTTTCTGTGTGCTGTGTGTTAATTCATATGCTTTATGATTAGAAAAGACAATGTCAGAAGTGAAGACATTCTAGTGAGTGTTGAGATTGACTGAGGGATGGTTTACTCCTTGGTCAGAAAGGACCATATAGCACCTGTTTGGAACTTCCTTCTATATGGCTGAACTGACGTCTGCCCTTTAAGGAACAGTGTACACTCAAATATGATAATCTAAGTGAGAATTAGAGTTAAGATTTGTTTTACACATTCAAGAATTTAATATTTCAAACTGGGCATAGTGCTGTAACACTAGCACTCAGAAGGCTAAGGCAGGATGATTTCCATGAGTTCAGGGCCAGCCTGGGATACATAGTTAATTCTGTACCAATCTGGACAACAAGTGTGAAGCTGTTTGAATACACCGAAAACCAAACCAAACCAAACCAAAACAAAACACCTTGGTATTTCAATGTTTCCTAAAAACTATTTTTTAAAAATCAATTTACTTCTCGATTGAAAGACCCTCCTTCCTTCCCTCCCAGTCCCACCCTCCCCTGAAAACCATTTTTATTGAAAATTTAATTCTAGATTTTTTTTTTTGGTCCGTGTGCATGTGTGCGAGCATGCCAGCCCTAGAGAAGTAAGTTGGGGTCTGGAGAAATGGCTCTGTGGTTAAGAGCACTTGCTGCTCTTCCAGAGGACCCTGCACCCACATGTAGGCTAACGGCTGTTCATAACTCTAGTTCTTGCACCTTTCTCTAGTCTCTGTGGACACTGCACACAGTGAACATGCAAGCAAAGCACACATACGTAAAACAAAAATAAATCTTTAAAAATAATTAGATGATACTTTAAACTTACATTCAGTTGCTTCTCATTTCAAATGTTATCTATTTTTGAGCTACATTTATCTTGTGTGGGGGAGGGTATGCACGCGTGTGCATGCCTGCATGAAGGTCAGTGGACAACTTGTGGGAGTTGATGCTTTCCTTCCAACGTGTAGGTCCAAACTCAGCTCACCAAGCTTGGAGGCAAGTGTCATGACTGTTGAATGTCTTGCCAGCTCTCACGTTATGTATATATTGTTTGTTAGGCAGCTGCATGTTATGGATGAGACTCACGTGATTAATCAGGTGAAAGAAGACGTATGCTATGTGTCTCAGGATTTCTACAGAGACATGGATATTGCTAAGTATGTATAATGCTACCTGTTAGTTGGAGAATTGATTTTCAGGAGATGCTAACAATTACAAAGTTTTACAAATCAGTCTCGTCTTTCAGGTTAAAAGGAGAAGACAATACAGTGATGATTGACTATGTTTTACCTGACTTCAGTACAATTAAAAAGGGCTTTTGTAAGGTAATTTTTAAATTTCTTTTTTTGTTTATATTTTTATTTGATATGTATGGGTATATTGTGTTCGTATATGTATACACACCATGCACTTGCCCACATAGGCCAGAAGAGGGTGTCACATCCTCTGGCATTGGAGTTATAAGGATGTGAGCTTCTGTGCAGGTACTGGGAATCCTCTGGAAGAACAGCCAGTGCTCTTAACTGCTAAGCCCTCTCTCCAGATCCTGTAAGGTAATTAAAAACAAAATCCTTCGTAATATCATCTAATCTTCATAATCTTCTCAAGTGATAACTTCAGCCACATTTGCAAAGCATTTCCCATCTAGCTGGATTGACAGGGTCTTTCAGTGACTGCCTTCCTTGTAGCCATTTTTTTAGGCACAAGTAGATAAATTTAATTAGTAAGTTTCTAAGATTGTTGTGAAGGACAAAATTCACTGCATATTCCAAGTGTTAAGCAGTTTATCTTGAATGTGAAGATAATTTTCTCTTGTCTTTGGTCAACTCAGGAAAAGACAGTTCTGTGTTTGGTAAATGTAAAGTCTGACTCTGTGGTTACTGGCTTGATAAAGACTCTTGGGAAATTAGAATTTTCAGATCACCAGTGGTGGCATACATTTTTAATCCCAGCACCTAGGAGGCAGAGGCAGGTGAGTTCAAGGCCAGCCTGGTCCACAGATCAAGTTCCAGGAGAACCTGGGCTACACAGAGAAACTCTGTCTCAAAAAACCACCACCAGCAACAACAACCAAAAATTCTACTCAGAAATGTAAGGAGACATATAGTATTCATTTAGAATAGTGGGAAATTGGCAGTAGCCTATAAGGAAGCTATAAGGAAGACAATTTTAATATGTTAATATAGTAAACAGTAATGAAAACAAGGTAGAGCTACATGATTACCATGGATCCATCCCAAAATTAATGTTTAATAAAAAACAACAGAAAGGTATATATACATTAAGTCTATATAGAATACTTTATTTAGAATACAGTAGCATTAACCTAGTTTTACATAGTTTCAAAGAACTACGTGAGTGGTGAACATCAGATTTTAAAGGGCATGATAATTTCTTTGTAGAATTTTATCAAGCTGCTTAATGGGTATACGTGTTTTATATAGTTTGTACTTAGTATATCTGAAATTTCCCCCCCATATCACAGAGGTGAAATGCAGATCAAACTTCAGGAAGGAAAATTGCCCCAAATACTTAGACCACAGAGCTGTCTCATTAGACACAATTGACCATCTACACTTTTACTATCCAATTATCAGCAAGGTCCACAGTCATACGGGATGCAAAGTTGACTGGTCTTCTGCAGAGATGGGGCCTGCAGATGGTCAGCATGATCTAGTCACTCCTAATATGACAGATCACTGGAGTCATGGGGGTTAAGAAGCTGCCTGGTTTCCATTCATCTTCCTGGGAGTTTTCAGTTCCTAAGTCAGAAAGCTTATTATTATTATTTTTTTCTGGATAATGGACATCCAACTAGGACTCTTTCCTTTTTAAGAACTTTCTCATGCCCTGTGAGTGACATGCCATTCGATCATCAGACATTATCACCTAAGCCAGTTTCTCCCTTGTTTTCTCAGACCAGCACCTGCTCCGTGGGCCTGCATTGTTGAGGTGTTTCTCACAGTTGATCACTGTTTTACTCATTATCTTTCCTGGGGGAGGGGTGAGCAGGAGGTGGAGGGGGCAGCACACAGACAGTTGGACATGGACAAGAAGCAAGTGGTTTTACGACTCTCTGCAGGTTTTTTTGACCTGTGACCTTGTGAGCAGAGTCTAATTAGAGCCTGCACTTGTTTAGTTTCCTACAGACTCATTTGCTGTGGCCTTGGATCCAAGGCGTGGTGCCTTGACCTGAGTGTGGGAGGGGTGACCCATCTGGATCCTGGTGTGTTTAGTGCGGCACAGTTGGGGGATTAGGGAGTCTCCAGCTACAGCAGTCACTAGCTGTAGAGCAGGACCCACAGTTGCTAGTTTTTGCACACACTGGTCAATCGTTAGGAAGCAGTCATTCTTGGATCAGAGGGAGGCTTTGCCATTCTAGGTGTCTTAATCAGGGTTTCTATTGCTGCGAAGAGACACCATGACCAAGGCAACTCTTACAAAGGAAAACTTTAATGAGGCTGTCTTACAGTTCAGAGCTTTAGTCTATTATTATCTTAACAGGAAACATGGCAGTGGCAGATTTCATCTAACACCTCCCAATAGTACCACTTTCTGGTGACAAAGCATTCAAATTAATGAGCCTGTGGGGACCGTTCCTGTTTAAACCGCCTCACATAGGTTATATTTGTTTTTGTTTTTTCTTGAGACGGGGTTTTTCTGTGTTGTCTGGCTGTCCTGCACTGGCTTTGTAGACCAGGGTGGCCTGGAGAAATCTGCGTGCCTCTGCCTTCCTGAGTGCTGGGCTAACAGCATGTGCCACCACACCCAACCAGTTCGGCTATTGTTAATTTCAACTAGGATACATTAGTCAAGAACTCCTGGGAAATTTGAAGCTTTGATTTTCTCCTGTTGTTAAAAGGAACGGTAACAGCATATGGAGAAATGGAGTCTATAATATCATGGGTGACAAACAGCAGAAATTCTATTTAATCTCTTCTCAGAAAGAGGATGCCTGCTAAAGCGTAAACCATCAGACCTAACTGGAGAATATTCCTTTATCTTTAGTGATTACCACTTTCTGCAGAACCATTATAGCACAACTGATAGTTTGTGTAATGGTGCTAGAAATAAATGTATGAGGGCCATTCAGTAAATCATGGATTTCTCTGACCAGCCTCCCAAAGCCGTCTAAATCTCATTTGTCTATGTCTACAAAAAGGCTTTAGAATTGTACCCTCAAAAAGAGAAACTACTTGTACTTTCAGATTACATATTAATGACTAATGGCATTGGAGTTGACATTCAGCAAGGACACTGAGTGCTGGCTCTTTTCCCTGGTTAGGTATTTGGTCAGTCAGCCTGATCATGTTCTGTTAATCAGGGCTTTAAAACAGCTGTAAACCTTTAATGTCCTTCAGCCTGTGTCTGCCTCAGGTAGTTTTCCAGTATTGGCAAAGTGAATGAATGAATTATCCTTTAAACTTTTAAAGTGAATCTAATGTCAGTGTGTGTGTGTGTGTGTGTGTGTGTGTGTGTGTGTGTGTGTGTGTGTGTGT